GGGGGGGGGGGGGGGGGGGGGCATCAGCCAGACGCGTTCCTTTACCCCCAGCTCCAGCGCCCGCCGTTTGGCTGCGGCCGGCGGTCGTTGCCATACGCAGCCTTCAAGAGACAGTACAGAAGGATGCGCTTCCATGCGAGCTCCGAACATTGGAAAGAAGGATGCGCTTCCATCGAAGCTGAGAGCACTTTGAGTGCCGGCGCAGTCCAGGGTTTGACAGCAGGACGAGTGCCAGGCGAATCACCGTTGTTTGCCCGCAGCTTGCCTGCAGCCGCACGCACAGCTCTTTGCCGGCATCGCGCGTGCACTCTTGAAAATATTGCCGCGTCGGACCTCGCCGCAGCTCGGCCATGGCGGCTGACGGCGGCGGCCCCTGCTGCGCTGCACCCTCCCCCCATTCTGGCGTGTCTACTGAGGCCGACGACGACGGCTTCCACACATACAAGCGTCCAGAGGGCAAGTCGGGTGATTGCTACCTGACGTCCACGTGTGCAAACCGGCTCGCTGCATCCAGGGCATCGGCGCAGTCACAACGCGGCACACACTGCCGATGCGGACGCCTACTCAGGCGTCCGCGATTTGTTGAAATCATGCCTTGCATTCGCCCAGCAGCATCACATGATCACCCAGCAGCATCCCATGATCACCTGAGTGACCCTGCTCTCCTGCAGCGTGAGTGCTAGCGCGTCATGTCATCTTACGCACCACTCCCCCCCGCCCGCCCCCTCGCCGCAATGCTGCGGGCAAAGGCGGCCACGGTGTCGGGTGGACCGAGATCCCGCGGTACAGCTTCGAGGTCCCAGGGGGTTGGGGGGAGACGCCCGTGTCCATTGCAGACCTTGCGGGCACAGATGTGCGCGCCCTGCTTTCATCCGCTGGGGCCACCAGTGGTGTTGGTGGGGGGGGATGGGAGGTGGGGTGTGTGTGTCAGGCAGAGGGACACCAGAAGACGGTCAACCGTGCGCATTGCCGCGCGTGCAGGGAAGGCCTGAAGCCTACACTAGCCAGCTGCCCAGCAGTACCACACGGAGCAGTGGCAGAGTGCTTGCGTTCGCACGTTGGGCTCGTTGCGGTTCAGAGGGCACGGCAGAAACAGAAAAAAAAGCTCACCGGCAGTCTGCCAGCCGGACTGACAGCTGGTGCTGTTTCTGCTCTCACTTCCATACCTGCACATAGGCCGAATTGAGCAACATCACTTGCATTCAGATAATCCATTGCTACCACACATTCATTTGCTATACGCAAGGCTTGGCCGTATTCTCAGACAACAGCAGCGAGGGGCAAGATTTTTCACACCAGGGAGACCCCGAGGACGCTCCAGGCTCCCGTGCAGCTCGCAGGTGAGGCACGAGCTATCAAGCCGTTGCATACGACGATACGCAGGGCTGCCTACGAAATGTCAACGCGCTGCGAACACCGAGCAGTTTTGCGAGGTGCGGTGGTGCTGCTTTGCTCAACCTGGCTGCGATGTAGAGCTATGGAGTACGCATGCATGCCTCATGAGCGCTGTGAGCTTCTGGGCTGCGGCGTTGCGCAGTGAGAGCGGTGCGTGTGTGCGCAGCGTGCAGCAGCAGGCGCGCCTGGCAGGCAAGGTGCTGTCCGGCACCCAATGCATGCGTCCCTGCAGGTGTGTGGGTGGTGGAGTGTGGGCTGGTGGAGTCTGGACTGGTGAAGTGATGAGAAGGTGTCCGGCGCGCCACTCGCGCCGGGGGTATGTTGGGATTCCCTCAAGATCCCGCCGAAGGGTTGGCCTCCTGCACTGCAAACCAGGCCCGCAACCCCTGCGGTTGTGTAGAGTCCACGCTGTGGACCGCCGATAATCAGCCACAGGCGCTGGCTTCGGCCTCGCCTCACGGCACTCCAAACCACCCTGGGTTCAACGCCCGAGGGAAACAGGGGGGGGGGGACAGCCAGACACGCTCCCTGACCCGTGACTCCAAAGCCCGCCGCTTGGCTGTGGCCGGTGATCAATGCCCTACACTGAATTTTCAAAAACATGGAAGAAGGGTAAGCTTCTAGAAAGCTTTGTGCACTTGCACTTGCAGAACAGTGGTCTTTTACAGTAGTGGGTGCCCATGAACATGTACCAACACACCTCTGCAAACAAGCTGTCGCCAACCACGAGACAGCAGCAACGTCGCCAGCCCGTGAGCCGCGTGGAAGCCACGCACTGCATCATGCATGTGACTGTACGCGCGTGCCGGGGTGTACCCATATGTCTGCCGCCGCAACCGCAGCTTTTCATTACAGCAGCAATAGTCAGCCACAAGTCAGAATGGTGGCGGCAAAACAGCAAAAGCAACTTCCGCAGCTGCTGCAGGCGCGACTGCTGGGCGGTATGGCGCTCGTGCGTGCGCCCACTTGTGTGCGCCGCCGCAGCCGGCGGTGTGTCATGTCAAGCTTGGCGTGCGCATGCATCTACAGGCCCCTTGACCACAGCCGCCAGCCTGCTGATATGATAGCACAGCAGCCACCAAAAGCGTCGCCGCACAATGCAACGCCAGCCACCCAGCCGCACGCCACAGGCCGACATATTGCCAATCCATCGCTGTGTGCGTGTCGGAGCGATACATGCTCAGCTATGTGAATGCCATGAACCTAGTATGTGCACAAAGCTACATTGCTATGCTCGCTGATGCAGGGTCAACACACACCTGACAGTCATCTAGCTGGCTACCCAAGGCATCCCAGGGAACGGGTCAGTGCCAAGGAGCTTGCCCTGCCTGTTGATCTGCCTGTTGCCCTGTCTCATGATAGTGTGCGTGTGGATGCTTGTGCATGCGCGTGGTTTCGGCAGAGTTTGCCTCCCGAGCTATCAGGACAATCTGCAGGGGTCGGCGCTCTTCAAGGACCAGAAATGAGTCATCACCTTGGTGGCTAGCCCACTCTCGTGAGGGATGCCCACCGCCAACTGGCGGCCCACCTCTAATGCCGCGGCACAACAATTCTGATCAACAGCTGCCGCCCCCCAGCTACCTGCCTACTTTTCGACCCGCTTCTCAGGCCCCAGGCTCCAGGACGGACGCCTCGCGCCGTGCCTGCTGCCGCCGCCGGTACCCTTGACCACCCCGCCACCGCCGCCGCCCAGGCCTGACCCAGACGCCCCCTTGTCGCTCGACCCAGCCGCATCGTCCTCCGGGGGCGGGGCCACGGGCACGCGCGTCGCCCTGCCCTTGACGCCGCTGCTGTGCGGGGCAACGACCGGCAGCTGCGCCGCCGCCGAGGCGCGCGGCGGTGTCGCGGGCTCGCGCATAGGCGACGCCTCCCAGTCCGCCGACGGGCCGCCTGCCGCAGCGCGCTGCTGGTCCGCCGCCCCTTGCCCCTCCCTCGCGCCCTCCCGCCGCATGGGCGTGCCCAGTGCAGCGCGCGGCGGCGGCGCTTCGATGCCGATGCTCGCCGGCTGGCGGAAGAACAGGTCGAAGCTCGTCCCCACGTCGTCCTCCGCAGACCCAGGGCGCTGGTGCTGCTGGTGCTGCTGCTGGCCGTAATGCTGCATTGCGCCCACAGGCTCGTCGTATGCCGCATCAGGGGCGCCGAGGGCGCTCCGCAGGTGGGCCAGCAGCGCGTCGTCATCGTCACACAGGGGCCCTTGCGTGGCTGCGGCCGGCACCTGCTCGGCTGCGCCCGCGGGGACGGCCAAGGCCAAGGCCGAGGCCCTCTCGCCCTCGCCCGCGCCTGCGGTCCCGGCCGCTCCGCTGTTTGGCGGCTCGTCCGCCGCCCCAGCCGTCGCGGCTGCGGTCGTGGTGGCGGCTGCACCGCCGCCGCCCTCCCCTTCTTCCGCCTCCCCCGCTCCCTGGCCGGGGCTGCCGCTCGAGGGCGTGAGGCCGCCCCCGCCCTCGCGCGCGGCGGGCAGGGTCCAGGAGGGGCGGCGCTCGTGCAGACCAAGGGAGTAGAGGTGCTCCAGGTCGGCGCGCAGGTCCAGGCCGGCCGCCAGGTCAGTGTCCAGCTCACCTGCCGGTTACGGTGTGTGTGTGTGTGTGTGTTAATGCGTGTGTGAATGCGTTTGTGTGCAGGGGAGTGGAAGGGGAGACGATCAATGTTGTAGCATGAGAGCCGGGCCTGTCTTCCGGCAGCGGTGTCGGCGTAGGGCATGCGGGCCAGCTGCGACAGGGACCCCCTGAGTCCTTCACACGCAACAGGGGTCAGAGCATCACTGAGAGAATCTGGCTGGACGCTCATTGAGGGCTTGAATTCGCTTTTGCCGCACCTGCCAGGTCTTGAGGTGCTCGCGGCTGGACCGCGCCCTCTGCCGCGGCCCGGCCAGCGTCCGTCGCAATCACAGTCGACGCGGCTGCTGGCAAGGCCGCAACTGGTGGCGCCGTGCTGGGGCCCGCCACGGGTGCCGCAGCGGCGGCGCGGGTGCTGGCCGCGGGCCGGGCAGCAGCAGCAGCAACCGCGAGCTGTGAGAGAGGCGCCGGGTCCGTCTCCAGGATGCGGCCTGCGGTCGGCGCCGCCTGGGTAACCGCACTCGGCCTCGCAGCCGCACGGCCCTCCACAGGCTGGGATGTGCTTGACCCGCTGCCGCTGGCGCTGGTGCTGGCGCCACTCCTGCTGGCACCGCTGCCGCTGGCCCGGCTGTCCCTGGCACTGCCAGCGCCAGCACCCCTGCCACTCGCACCGCTGCCGCCAGCCCTCGTCGCGCCAGCACCGCTGCCGCTGGCGCCGGCGGTGTCACGCTCCGTCCCCTGCTGCACGGATGGTCCCAGGCGAGACCCCGTCCTGCCAGCCTCACTCACAGGCACCAGCAGGCCCACCGCCAGCGGAGCCGCGCGCTGAGCAGCGCCGCCGGGCGTTGCGCCGGGGCTCGCAGCGCGCCGAGCCGGCACCCCCGGGCTCGTTGCGCGCCTGGACCGCGGGGCGCTCCTCGGGCGCGCCGCCGCCGAGGGCGCCGCGTCGGGCTGGGGGTCGGCTGGCGGCGCCTCCGCGGGCTGCGGCCAGCCAGCGCCGTACCGCACGGCGGCGCGCAGCAGGCCGGACAGGCCCGGCTCGCGCGCGCGGTCGGCGGCGCGGGCGCCGTCCCTAGCGACGGCTGCGATTTCTGCGCCGGCATCCAGCAGCGCCTGCGCCACGTGCAGCTGCCCCTGGGCGACGGCCTGCGAAAGGAATGACACAGGGGCAGGTGCGCCGCGTCAGCAGCTGGAAGCGGGTTTGAAGCGGCCCGTCACTGCTGACTTGCCAGTTCTGGGTGGCTCAACCTGTAGCACGCAGCAAATCGCAGCAAGAGCGACGCGAGCTTCGGCGACTGACGGGACTCATGCGCGTCCACCCAGGAATATGAGAGATTCCAGAGGCGCTCACCGCGTGCAGCGGCGTCAAGCCGTCCTGCCAATGTGCAAGAAAGGGACCAGCTTGTTAGCGGATGGATTGTTTTCTGGCGTTGCAAGCTTGCAAACATGTGAAGCAACATAAGCTGTCCCCAGAGTGATGGCTCTATTGAGGCGCGCGCCAGCAGGTCAACGCCACCCTCCACACCAGAATAAGATCCAGGGTTCCTCACCCTGTCTGTCGCGTCAACATCGGCGCCAGCGCCCAGCAGCATCTGCCAGGAAAGGGTAGCAGGGGGCGCTTTTTAGATGCAGCCGGTGTGTAGAAATTGAGTATGACAGCAAACTGCTGCACTCTGACAGAGAAACCAGCAGTGTGTGGCTGGTGCTTGTCGGCGCGCATGCTACCATCGCTGGGTGCCAGCTGCCTCACCCGCACAATGTCGAGGAAACCGCCAGCTGCAGCGATGTGCAGGGGTGTACGACCATCCTGCGCAGGGGCAAGACAGGAAGTTACAACAGCTAGGTGACTGTACAGTATCGCACAATCGCTGTGTTAACAAAATTCTGAGGGTCCAGTGCACGCGCCAGGCCCTGGGGGTCGTCCAGCCACTCATGTGCATCAGCCTGCACCCTCGCGTGGCGACCCCACCTTTGCGGCAGCGCTGGCCCAGGCTCCCCTGCGCAGCAGCACCCTGACCACCGCGACGTGGTTGTGCAGCGCCGCCATGTGCAGCGCCCGGAAGGAGCGCTTCTGCAATGCGTCGACGCGCGCGCGTCCGATTCGTGTTGATCGCCGCAACCGTGCGGCTGCTGAGCAAACGCGGCGCTTGCAGCTCACTTAGCATGCCAGCCCAGCTAATCAGCAGCGATAAAGCCACACCCAAGGCGCAAGAGCCCCAGCGAGGCGCTTCTCAATCGCCATCACGCGCGAAGCATGTCAGCTCACCCGTGTAGAGAGGTCGTGGCTGACGCCGTAATCCAGGAGGGCTTCCACCACAGATGCGTGCCCCACCGCCGCCGCCTCGTGGAGCGCGGTGCTGGACTCCTGCAGGCCGTTTGACAGGAAAGAAACTTTTGAGCAGAAATATCGGGCCAGCCTTGACGCAGTCGGCGATGTACAGACCCCCAAAGGGAGCCGTTGCTGGACTTGACACAGGAAGCAGACAGCTGGATGCAGGACGGCTTGCGGGTTTGGGCTGTGTTGCGCGCACCTTGGTGGGCCCGAGTATGCTGGCGCCGCGCTCCATGAGGAGCCGCATCATGGCCACGTGGCCGAGCTTTGCCGCGTATATCAGTGGAGTGCTGGGACAGCGAGACTCCTGGAAGGGTTTGGGTCGTCGTTGTTTTCGGGGATGGTGGTGTCATGGTGGGATGTGTGTGTGTGTGTGTGTGTGTGTGTGTGTGTGTGTGTGTGTGTGTGTGTGTGTGTGCGCACATGTGTGTGCGAGTACATGTGCACACATACTCAAAACATCCTCACACAAACACGTACATGAGCGTGAGCATGTGGGCCCACCTGGGAGGTGGGGTTGAGTGCCGAGCTGCGGTCCATTAGCAGACTGGCAGCAGCGTCTTGGTTGTGCCAGGCGGCATAGTGGATGGGCAGCAGGCCGTCCTGCAAAGTTGGTGGGAGGGGGAGGAGACGATTCAGTGGGACTGATGAGGCGAAATGTAAATCTTGGCTGAGGAAGCATAAAGGGCAGGCCCATGGGTGCCGCGGCTTACAAGGCTCGCGCAGCAAGCGCAATCAAGAGGCTGTCCACAACGGCAAGGAAACTCAACAGACGGAGGAGCAGCGCCCATGCCGGCTGGACGTGCCCGACAGCCGTTGCGGTGGGCGTCCCCGAGCCGGTCGACCCACAGTTGCTCACCCCATCCTGCACGTTGACGTCGGCCCCTGCGTCAAGCAGCGCCGTCATGACCTCCGTGTGCCCCCGGCATGCCGCAAGCGACAGCGCACACATGCCCGCCTGCGGGCAGGGGGGTGAAAGCGGCAGCCCGCCGGCGTCTTGCGCCGCGCAATCCAATGGCATGCCGAGCGTGCATTGCAAGAGCGCGCCATCAAGACAGCTGCGGCCTGCAAACCTCACCCTGTCTCGCTTGTCTGGCGCGGCGCCTGCCGCCAGCAGCTGGCGTGCCTCTGCCGTGTCGCCCGTCCACGCGGCGGCGTGCAGCGTGTAGGCTGCCCTCCTCGCCATCGGGGACAGAGGGCTCATAGGCGAGCCGGCAGACGCGGCGCGGCGTCCGAGGGGGCTGCTGTGCGGCGACGGGCGCAGCCACGACAGGCAGCCCGCTGCAGGCGCAGAGCCAGCCCTGGCCGCGGCCGGCGAGGCCGTGCCGCCGCTGCTGTCGCTGGCGCAGCCGCTGCCGCGGCGGGGCGCCTGGTCGCGCGGCGGCGTCCCGGACTGGCGGCGGGGCAGGTAGAGGCAGGACAGCAGCCCGGGGGAGGTGGCGGGGGCCAGCGGCACAGGGGCACTGCTGGCGGCTGCAGCGCCGGCGGCTGCGGCCGCCGGCAAGCGCCGCCTGGACGGCAGCAGGCGGCCCAGGCCCTCGCGCGCGCTGCGCTGCATAGGCACAGCCTCCTGGGCCGGTGGCAGCAGCGTGGCCGTCTCGTCGACCGCGTCATGCTCCTCAAGGGCTGCCGTAGGCTGTCCCGCCTGGGCAACATGCACCGCCAGAGGGCCGGCCTGGTCGCCCAATGGACTCGCGTCTGCGGCAGGCCGTGCGGCGTTGTCGCCCCCTGAGGGCACCTCGTCCGCCTCGTGCAGGGGGCGATGGCCCCGCTGCTCCTTCATCGCCCGCTCGATTGCACCGCCTGGCCGGACTCGATCGAGAAGCGCTTGCATTCTGCGTGCATTTGCGATCGCGATGCTCACTGAGGCCGCCTGTCCCGCGGTCAGAGGGCATTAGTTGTTGTGCGACGAGTGAGCTGGCCCATAAACCACTCCAAAACGGACCTCACCTGCCACTCATATGAGTTGATTCGCCCAGGCGTCGCGTCTAGGGCCCTAGCAGGTTGTTGCGCTCCGCTTCATTCAAGCAACCTGTGCTGCCAGCTGGGCTGCGTGGAGTGCGCTCGTTAACGCAATGTGTGTCAAGATAGCCTGATACGGGAGCTGACTTCCTCATCAGGTGGCATTGCGCCATTCGTCACTCCCTGGCTTGGAACGCTCGGAACTTGACCGGCGACGGGGCACGATCAACTTGCGGGTGCATGGTAGCGACAAGAGACTAGGGCGTACCATCAAAGTTTAAAACACTTGTAAACTCGCTCGAAGCACAAGTGTCGGCTGTCACGCGGCCAGCCGATGATGGTGATGAAGCGACCATGGCTCATTGGTCATTGCTCATTGGCCAAACGTGGCGAGGTGGGCTCCCGTGTGCCGGTAAGCTTCTTTTGAGTCTACAAGCAGCCACAAAATACCCATGCTGCAGTTCTCATGCGGCATGTTGACTACAGTACAGTTTGTCCAGCAAACCTGGCCTTCATGGTAGGCTGTACATACAGTACCGGTACGCTACGTTGTGCTCTTACTGCTTTATCCATGATGTGTATCGTACGTCGCATCAAGGTGCTTGCAAGCGCACACATGTCAGCCATGCAGGGGAGCCACCAACACAGCCTCCAATGCGCAGCACCAACCAAGCAGGCGTGCAGCAGTTGCTCTTGGCACGAGCACAGCGCACACAGCATGCAACGCCCGCCTCTCGATGACGTTTACAGAGCATTAAAGCAGGCTCAAAGACTGATCGAATTTCAATAGCAAACGGACTCGCCAGCCTTCAGTGCCCTCGCTGCGCAGGGGACCGCGCGAGCAGTACGTACCCGATCTGGACGTCGCAACTTTATGATATGTCAACATGACAAGCTAGATTTTTGATGAGAAGATCATGCGGCATTCTGACCCCTCCGCGCCCCAGTAATCCCTTACGCATTGATGCACCTGCCCGCTCGCCGCCTTCCTTCATGCCTATTGCACAAACACTCAAGCAGAACACAACCCTGCTCTTGTTGCAACCTTTCCTAAGCCAACCAGCTAGCTTTCAGAGATCAAACATCTTGCTGGTGACGTGGCACGTTGTCATCACGCACGCTCAGCCACGCACGCTAGCTACCGGCACTCGCCTCCTGTACACCGGCCTGCTCCATGGCAGCGCTTGCACCCCTCAGACACCCTTGTAGGCCGGCTCCTGCCGTAGGGGGGCTCAACTGCCCGAGGGCCATGCGCCTGGCACCTGTGGCGCGCCGCACCACCATCGCCGCCGCCACCTCGCCCAACCGCGGGGGTCGTGAAGAGCCGGCCATTGCGTCGCATTTGCTGCCTGCGGCTGCGGCCTTGGCCCTGCAAGCTCTGGGGCTGCCGGCCATCGCAACTGAAGCGGCCGGCCAGTTACTGAGCGAGCCATCTCTGGTTGAGCGCGTCGCCGCAAGGAGTGCCGGCCCGACCACCACCGGCATCCCGGCGCCCACAGCACCGCTGCTGCAGCAGTTTGAGACATTCAGCGGCTGGGTTTCCTACGGCGCTGGCGTCGGCATCACAATCGCACTTCTGGTTGAGGCGGTGCCCCTCATCGCCATGTCAAAGCGTCTGACGCTGCGGCAGTCGCTCAAATTCAGCGCTGTCACGGCTGGTGAGTGTTGCAACTGTGCAGGGGCGCAAGGGTCGGGAAGGCGCGGCGTGGAGCAATGCGGCTCGGTGAAGCGCGGGTTGGCGTGCGAGCGGAGGAGCTCATCAGCCAGGCGCTTTGCTTGCGTGCCACAGTGTGCTTGACGGATCGCTGTTGATGCCTAATGGGTACCGGGCTGCCCCAATCTCGCGTTGCTGAGAGCTCACGCCAGCAGGCTGCGACGCCTTTACCACATCTCCGCCTCGCACCGCACCCATCCTGCAGACGCGCCGGGCCGCCTCCGCTGGGTCGGCATGTCTGGGCTGAGCCTGCTGCCGGTGACGTGCTGGGCGGCGTGGCTGCTGGCGGCCTGGACTGAGCGCGAGGATGCGCTGCGCGCGGTGTACGTCGCGTACGCACTGCTGTACGCCGTGCTGCTTCTCCAGTTCACCGATGGCTTCACTCACCCCTTTGGCAGCCCCATCGCGTTTGCCATCTGGCTGGCGTGCGGGCTGCACATCCAGATGCACAGGGTGCTGCGCACCAACCGCGTGCTGTAAGGGTCGCCTGATCAACGATGCCCCTGCTGGCCGCGTGCAATTGTTGTTGAGGCTGAGACTTGGACGTAGAGCCTATGCTTGTGTAACCGATCCTTCAAAGGGCGCTCCAACACTACAAGCGTGCTGTTGTAGGGGCGGCACGGTGGCAGCAGCTGGTGTGCTCCCATCAGTGCACTCACTTGAGTGACGCCGCCTGTGGCCAGGACAGGGCCAAGCACCGCGCCCGGTCACGACCCCGGAGTGTATGATACAAGCGTCCTTCGCTTCATATCATAAGTTGTCAATACGATGTTTTGAAGTCATTCACCCACGCAATTTGAATGCCTGCTCGTGCGCTGTATTATCAACGGTGCAGTACGCTATATATCTGTTGAATCAAACTACATCACAACTTTCACGTCATTCAGCCACGCCATGCTCCGGCGATCTGCGCGCGCAAGAGCAGCAGTGCCGCCTGTTTGCCATGAATCCGAATCTATGGATACTGATGAGTCCTCAGATGATGATCAGCAGCCTCAGCGCGGCCGCAACACCAGAAAGCAGCAGCAACAGCAGCAATTTGTGAAGCAGCGGCGCAGAGCGCACGCAGCAGCGGCAGCGGCGACAGCAGCAGAAGAATCTGAAGATGTTATGGACGAGGGCGACCAGCATGACGATGATGAGGGGCAGAACGCATCAGGTTCCGATCAGGAGGAGGGCCTGCGCTCGGCAGGACGGCAGCTGCGAAGTGCAGGCACCCCGCTCAAGAATGCGCCCCAGCCGCAGCCCTCGCAGCCGCAGCCCAAGCCGCGGCGCCGCGCCGCCACGAAGCAGTGCACGCGGCAGCCGGAGGACGTGACGCGCCTGCTGCCCCCGGGCCTGGACGAGGAGATGCTGCGCGCCACGTGGCTGCGGCTGCCGCCCAAGAACTGCAACCCCAAGGAGGCGCTGATGCGGGGCTACCGCGCCCAATTCCCGCGCTGGCGGCTGCAGCTCAGGCACGGCTGGGCCCTGATTGCACGCGCTTGCTTCCATGGTCGCCGTCCTCGTGCGAATTGAAGGACACAGCTTGCCCTGCTGCCTCAGCTCCGACGCACGCCAGCGTAACAAGCGCCCCGGTGCGACACACCACGCCCCGCACCCGGCCCCTCCCTCCGCGCAGGCAGCGCTTCAGCCTGCTGTTCCACGGCTGCGGCTCCAAGCGCGCCCTCCTCCACGCGTTTGCCGCCGAGGCCCTGACAGACGGCGGCGTCCTCGCTATCCGCGGCCACATGCCAGGGGTCACGTCCAAGGCCGTCCTCGCCGCAGTCGCCGCCGCGCTCGCGCACAAGGCCGCCCGCGGCGCGAGCCACGACGAGCTGCTAGCGACTATTCAGGCGGAGCCCGCGGGGCGGCGGCTGTACGTGATCCTCCACAACATTGACGGGCCGGGTGCGAGCTCTGGGTTGTGCGCCTTTGTGTGTGTGCCGAGGCGCGCCGGCAAGGCCGGCGTGCAGCCTGCCGCCCCAAGCCCCGGCAGCAGCATGCGACGCAAGCCGAGGACGGACGTTTTCACCCTTGGATTGGAGGTATACGGTGAACCTCCAAGCTCTATGGCCAAACGGGCTCGTCACCACAGCATGCTGCCCCGCGCGTGCCCGCCCCCGTGCCCCAGGCCTGCGGTCGCCAGAGGATCAGCTGTGGCTCGGGCGGCTGGCGCAGTGCCCCAACGTGCACCTGGCGGCCTCGGTGGACCACGTGAACGCGGCGCTGCTCTGGGACGCGCGTGCCTGCGCGCGATTCAGGTGACGCTTTTGAATTTCTTCCCGCCCTGCCGCTCCCGCTCCCCAGCGTCCCGCATGCCGACCCCGCGGATCGGGCCCGCGCGGATCGTCGCTTTGGGCAGGACGGCTCGGCGGGAAGCATTTGCGTGCCACGCAACCAGCGCACCTGTGAATGCGGGCGCCGTGCGTCGGCGCCTGAGCGTGTCCCTTGCCCTGGCGCCGCCCCAGGTGGCTCTGGGTGGAGGCGCCAACCTACGCAGCCTACGAGGACGAGACACGCGACGTGCCGCCCCTGCTCACCAGTGAGACGGGGGAAGGGGGCCGCTGCGCTGCGCCGCTCCTGCTCCCGCCCCTGCTTGCGCGCCGCAGCTCCTCGCATGGCAACACTGCGCCAGCTGCTCGGCAGCGCTCGTGCCTCGAGGCAAGGCAGGCGCAGCCCTCACACCCGGCAAGCGCTCACGCCAACCGCCCCCACCCATACCCCGCCCCAGGCTGCCTCCAGAGCTCGAGCAAGCGCGGCGCGGCCACGGTGCTGGGCACGCTCGTGTCCAGCGCGCGCGCCGTGTTCCGCGTGCTGGCCGAGCACCAGCTGGCCGACCCGGGGGCGGGGGGCGCCAGCCAGGGGCTGCTCTTCAGGATGTGCCGCGAGAGGTTCATCCTCAACTCGGAGCAGGTGGGTGCATGCACGCCTGTGTATGTGTGTGTGTGTGTGATTGGGCGCTTGTGTGGGGGCAGGCAGGGCGACGCAGGCGGAGGGGGTTCGTAAAGCCCCGCGCCGAAGTGCACTGGAGAGGTAGGAAGGTGCAGCAGAGGGCTGACTGAGCCACGTGGCTGAGGGAGCAGCCCTCTCTTACGCCACCGAGTTGCCTTGTTGCGCCACCCTGCCCAAAGCGCCCTTCAAGGCGGGGCGCGTGCTCACAAGCACACTCGCACACCCCTCTGCCTCTCTTTCACACACACACACACACACACACGCATATCTATACACGCACTGACACAAACACACAAACACACACACAATCACACCCACGCAACCCCCTCCCAGGCCCTGCGCAGCCACCTGGTGGAGTTCCGGGACCACGAGCTGGTCAGGGGCACCCCGGGCCCAGACGGCGGCGAGCTCCTCTACATCCCCATGGAGCCAGACGCCCTGAGGCAGGTGCTGGAAGAGATGGAGGGCGGCGGCGGCGGCGGCGGCGCGCGGGGCGGTTGACTCGCAGGCGCGGCGAGCCGGTTCACGGCGCGCGCGCGATTGGAGATGGGGGCGCGGACGCGGCGGCGCGACGCGCGGGGCTGCGGCGCGGCTGGCCCAGCTGGAACAGGCAGGGCTGGCGAGCTGTTCAAAGCAGCCGGAAGCAGGCTGGTGGTTAGGTTAGCTAGGGGCAGCAGGGTCGGCGCAGGCTTGATAATGCGCTTAGCGTAGGCTGGGCACATTTGCTTGTCTACGGTAGCATAGCACCAGGCCTTAGACATCAGATGATTTCAGATTACATGCCGCTCACTCCTCAAACACATCAGCTAATGAATGCGGCCTGTAACCTCCAGAACACCGCATGGGCCAGGTGAAATCAATCACCCTGGCTTGCAGACATGTCCAGCATCAACCCATGAAAACTGCTCAGCCTCCGCCCCCTTGGCGCACAGGCGCCCGCCTGCCATGGCGGCGCCGGCACGCGTGCGCGCGTCAGCCCCGCGCGGCCATCGTGGCTGCCTTGGCAAGCGGCGAGTCGAAGCGCGCCCCGGCGGCGGTGGTCTTGGACGCGACCACTCCGCCCTTCATGCGGCCCTCCAGGGGGCGCAGCCGCCCGTAGAACTTCTGGGCGTCGCACAGGCCGTTGTCGCTGCGGTTGGGATGTGTTTGAGTGGGCCGACCGTCGGTGCGACACTTTGACGCGCCACTGCTGTAAGCTTGCACGGCAAGCTTTAGCAGGAGCGGTTGGGATGGCAGTGACTCTTCAGCAACAAAGCAGCAGCTTTGAACCACACGCCAGCTGGGATACAGCCGGCCACGCCATCTTGACGTGCAGGCTGGCGCTGTGCACGCGCGGCGTGGGGACGCGGCGCGTCTCGCGCGCCTGATGGAGGGCTCGCCCTTGGTGCCGTTGCAGCCGCTGCTGAAGAAGCTCATCAGCCCGCGCCGGCTGTCGATGCAGTGCGCGGGGTCGTGGGGCTGCGGGCCGCGCTTCAGCAGCTGCGCAGGCGGGCGAGTTCCGGGCGTGGGCGTTGCAACTGAGGTTGTGCAGGGTGCAGAATCCCCTGGAATTCTTTTGGAGCAGGCTGAACTGTGAGTGAAAGGCCCGTGCAGCCAGCCAGCAGAGATGACACTCTCGGCAGGGGCCCGCCCCCGTTCTGTTCCCTGTGCCAGCCGCCGCAGGCCCGCCTTCGCC